GAGAACTACAGTGACAATCATATACCTGAATTCTATTGTTAATCCCATCTAGAATAGACTCATAAAGTCAGTAGGCTTTACTTATGCCTTGATTTATCATCCAACAATTGATTCAGTGGGTTTGCTCTATTTGGGACTACTAGTCAGAGCCAAGCCCTGCCCTGTTGCCTTATTGTGGCATAATGGTGCCCCAGATACTCAATGACAGTGCCAGCATAGCATATGTTTTTCTAGATTCTACCATGCTAGTGACATCTTGAATATGGCCCCAGAACTGGACTCTGAGTCTTCAAAGGACAAACCCAGCTAAGCATGGAGAAGGATGGCCCACACTAGTGAAAAACTGGCCATAGCAACTGCTATAGATGTACTATATTGGTAGCCAGACTACCCATGTCAGTAAAATCATAGTTCTTCAAGTTAAATATGTCCCCACCACAGAAAAAAAAACATCAGTGTCCTTCTTCCTGTTTCACAGTCATGAGAGAATTAGTGGAGACAACTCTAGGTCCAAGGATGCAACACTGAGACATGTTTGTACTCTATGGAATGCAGCCTTTTAGAAATAAATTCCTTTATAGAACAGGTCACAAATAAATCAAGACAACAACGCAAAGTATTTAGACAAGAACTCCAAAAAGATTTTTTTCTTTTTTTGGCACAAAGGGGAAAATAGATTCCCTTCTGCTTTTAATAACTCAAAACAAACAGAAGTTAGAATGCATCGACTCAACATTGATCCACAAAAGGTTGATGAACAAAGCCAAGACCCCTCCATTCCCCTCCTATCACCCACAGGAAACAATGAAAGGTAAAAAGTAAAATGGCTGAGGAAGTAAACAAAATGTAACAATGTTCATTTCCTTATCAAATGTCACATTTGTCAGTTCATCCCTATTCACTAGTTGTGACTTATTATGTTCAAAACTAAGACCTTGCAGTGAAGTTGGACACTTTCTTCTCTTCCAGTCTTGATGCAGAACAGTGGCTCTTATTTTGTGTGTGTTTGATTTTCTATATATATATATATATATATATATATATATATATATATATATATATTTAGAGAAAGATATAAAAACTACTTTTATCAACACTGAAAGGTTACACTCCTGGTCATAGTGAATTATATTTGGAAGTCCAATCATGCAGAACTACAGGCAGGTGCAACTTAGGTCTTATTACAGGATGGACATGGCAAGGTGAACAGTTTGGTTTTGCTAGTTGGGTTTGGAGGTCCTGGTACCATTGTTGCAAAACATATTACTGGCCAGAAGTCCCACTTACTCAATTTACTAAATATACATAATTCTCTATATACACATTGAACCCTCTGAGCCTCTCTCTCACTGGCTGATCACCAGCAGAAGTAATGACCAGAGGTACACCATGGGGTGGGTGGGTATGGTGGCCCTTGAAAACAACAAAAAGAGTGATAGATTCTTACAGATAAGTTACAAAGAGAAAAGGAGAGAATCAGTAGAGTTATTTACACACTATGCAACTTGTGAAGTAGGAGAAATGCTCAGCCCTGCTCAATGGAAGCAACCCACTGGTTGGATGTAGCGGGTCTTGTTTTTCTCAGGATCACTATGTTCCAGCCCTTAACACTGACCTACTTCTCCTAGAGTCAGTATTTGGGAACTGCATTACATTGTGTCATTCTTTAGGGAGGCTTCAGGGAGGTTTGTTCTGAAAAGCAAGCCTCTTGAGTATCAGGCCTGGGTCTTTTCTACTTCTGCTATAAGTACGAGATGCTAAGAACTCAAGCTGGTGGGGTAGCATATGGGTTATATGAAAATCTTGTGCTGTTTCTCTGAGCTGTAGTATGCTAAACTGGATCAGGCTAGTGAAGACAGTGGGCTGCTCTACTAACAAAACTATACCATTATCCAAAACATGTGAACTAACCTATTTGCAGTGCTGGAATAATCTGCCTGATGTACCTGTCCTGATCCAGCAGTGGACATCACTTCTCGTATAAACTCACTCATTAACCGTCATTTAATGTCTTCAGACAGGGCTGCAAAAATGTTTTCAGCTTAAAGCTTTCAGAAAGTTGATTTTCTGGACTACAATTCCATAAATCCCCCAGCCGACAGCCAATGTAATTTGTAACATAAAAAAGCAACTTCCCAGCTCTATCACAGATCCCACACTTGTGTAACTGTGCTTCCCATATCTATACACTGTGCATCATTGTATTCACTTTGAGAAGCTTCCATAGGGTTTGGAGAGGGGGGGGGGTCAGAAATGCTCACATTCAGACATTCAATTCCAGAAGGAGATATCCATAAACACTGTGGCTGCATACATGTGATGAGCAGGCACACTGCAATAGACATGCCCGTACATCTTCTTGCCCTGCTAAACACACACCTCATTTTATCATACATAACCATATAGTTGGATGAGGTCCCTGTTTGCTTTTTATAGTCCTAAGGGATTGCCAAACCAAATTGTGACATCATCCAAGTATTGAAATGTGGGTAAACAGATTATCTAGGGAGTGAAAGAATAAATTAATACTTCAAATAACAAAGTCATTTTCACACACACACACACACACACACACACTACTTTTTGCAGTTCCCATGTATGACATTTAAAATTCAGATTTGTGCTTTTGTAACTCTATGTTGCTCTAGCCTCTTTGTGGCACCAAAAACATGAGCAAAAATGATAAATGTGTGCCTCTAAGGGACTTGAGTCTATGACAGCTTATGCTACCAACTTCTTTTTTTGCTCTATCAGTCTTAAAAGTGCTACAAGATCCCTTTACATGTTGGGAGTTCAGTCAGACAAGGGTTTGAGTCAGAAACGGTTTTTGAGTTAAGACTGGGGTGGAAGTGAGAGAAGAGCATTTTGGCTGCGGGTGTAGCATGGTCAGTCTGCGTTAGTAGGGTACGCAAGTGGCATGTGGTGTTTTCAATGTAATAAATAATTAATCTGCTTTGATATGTTTAACTGCTGTAAATAAAAAATGTTTTTATACACATTTGGCCTTGGAAACACTTTGAGAGTTTGGGTTTAGTCAAGGTGTCTGTGGTGGCAGCACTGAATGGACTACAAAGGGGTGGTGTCCGTTGAGGATAGAAGTGGAATAAGTCCTCACAGGTCCTTACACAGTTAGTGTCACACAAAAAACCCCACACACATTTGGCCACAATGGTGGGACTGCTTGAGAAGAAGCTGGTGGGACTCGTGGGATTGCTATGTGGAAAACTCCAACATTGGTGGGATAAGGATCCGAGAAACCCCACATCTCTTTTCCCAACCAAGAGCAGATACTGGGAACTATACTGCCAAATCCTGTGTCATCTTTCCCACTGGGCCATTCCCAATAATAACCAACAGTGGCTGCTGCCCATGTGTAGTTTCAAGGTGTAGGGAAACTTCAATAGCTTAAAAACGAGAGAAACATGCACCCATCAGTCGCCTTATATATTACAGTAAGCCCTTCCTGCCTAAAAATTAGAATATCTCAGCTTCTTGAACTATTCCCCTCGCCACACAAAACAGGTTGGGGTAAATATTATAGCCCTGCACGAAATAGGTATAAATAAGAGATACGGTGAGCTACTTGGAAAAATAAGAGCATGAGTTCCAAATTCTGTTCTCCCAGGACAAGGACAAGTAGCCCCCCCCTTTTTTTTTGGACCAAAGTAGATGTGGCTACAAGGCGGAAAGTGCAAGTGACGTACCTCTAGGGCACAGAGACACTTTGGTGCAAGTGAGTAATTCATCTTTAGATGAGCCTGGGAGGGAAGGCTGATATAGGGCTGTTTCACACTACACAGGCATAGCATTATGTTTCCATTTTAACAGAATCCTGTAGTTTGTAGTTTAGTGAGGCACTAGAATGTTCTGCCTGCAAATTCTAAATGCCTCTCCTTAAATGTCAAATCCCAGGATTCCATAGCATGGAACCATGGCAGTTAAAGTGGAATCATAGCACTGTGACTGTACAGTTTGAAAGGGCAGACTTTTTGGAAGCAAAGGTCTTTCTATTATAGGAACAGGGCTGTTTCTCCTCTTCATCAGTGGAAAAAAAACTTTCCTGCCCCCTGAGAGACATGTGGACATACTAGAAATTCTGTCCCCCAATGAAATCTTCCTTTAGACCCCAAATTTCCAGAATATCAGCAACTTAAAACTTCATTTGAGCATCGACAAACACAAGCATCCAAAGAAAAGAGGCAGGCAATGTTCTCAATGGAATGAGAACACAGACGTTCTAGATGTGAATGATTTTAAATGTCTCACTCTCTGTAATGCTAGAAATTTGAGGATTGAAAGACTTTGGGGGGATTCTTATTGGGGGGCAATGTCCTCATTTTGCCCCCCTAGCTACACCTGCCTGGGTTCTAACCCTTCATCCACTTTGCTCATTTTACTCTTACACATCTGTTACGATTCCCATCAGCCACTACTAGTCAAATTGTCAGGCATGGCAGGAGTCTATCAACATCTGGGGCAACCAAAATCAATCATTTTATTTATATCCTGTCT